AAAGCTATGTCTTCAGTTTATATTTACCTTGCGGGACATTGTGAAAGTAGAAAAAACAACAGCGTCACTTGCACCGACAATATCCCCTAACATCTTTTCCAATCTTAAACACCTGATAGTAAGGGGTTGTGATCCATACTTGAAGAAGCTGTTTCCATGTGAGCTGCTGCAAGGTCAAGGCCTCCAAAACCTGGAGCAGATTATAGTCGACTGGTGCGGGGGGATAGAGGAAATAATAGGATGGGAAGAAGAAGAGGTAGGAAATCAAACAACTACTCCAATATTGATCTCTCTTCCAAAATTAAGGATATTGGGGTTGAAATCCCTACCAAATTTGAAGAGAATCTGCCCCGAAGGAGGAGTAATGGCTTGTGATTCTCTCAATTCCATTTGTATAAGCAACTGCCCTAAGGTCAAGAGGATTCCCTTCTGTCTTGGAAGGGAAAACGGGCAACCATCTCTTCCTGCTATGAAAGAAATCTATATTTTTAATTCAAAAGAATGGTGGGAATCGTTGGAGTGGGAGAATGCTGACGATGAGTATGTCCTCCTACCTTTCATCGAATATAGTAGGTAAGTCTCATTACTCTCCCTTTTTTCCATCACTTGCATTCCATTCCTTTTCTCTACCTGGTATTTCATAAATAAATGTTTCTATCTCTTGTTTCTGAATGAATCCAAGTGTTAATCTCCGTTGATTTGCTTAATAATCTAATCTTGATTGATTTGCTCTTAAGATGTCTATCTCGCTAATACCATTTTTGATTACTCACACAGCAACAATGATGGCCCTTGCGTAAACATTAAATATGGCTGTGTCGACTTGGATCATATTTTTGACAAATTCTAATGCCCAGCCCAGCTCAGCTCAGGTATATATGTCTGTTGATTTGCTTTTGATGAGATGTCCATCTCCCTTAATTGGATGCTAATTCCCTTTTAAATTATTAATTCATAGCGAGCAAGCTTTCCTAAGTGATCCATTCAATATCAATCAGGTATATATTTTTATGCTTTCAGGAACATTTTTTCTTTTTTTCTTTCCTTTTGCTGACTATTATTTGCATCCTTAGAATTAAGTGATTTCTCCATACATGTTGATGCAGGCTGCATATCTACCATCTCGTACCTATTTCTTCAACTCAGCAACATTTATACCAATGCAAGACAAAAACTGGGATTCACAAATCACACTCACATGAATGCAATGCCATCTCTGTTGTAATTTGCTGTTTAGTGTTGTGGATGAACTTCATTTAATTAAAGTTTTTTATTGTTTCTTTAAATAATTTGTTTTACTTTGTTGTAATAAGCTCTAAAACAGATTTGACAAACTTTTTGTTTAATGTATGTGACTGTTAACTATCACACTCAACATCTTAATTTCTTTAATCACATTATTTTTCCAATACCTACATACGCCATAGTAGACCAAAGGTATGTATGAATTTCTCTCCTATTTCATCTATCAATTTAGTTAAACACTCCCGTGGCTAACTTGATCTCCTGAGGGCTTAAGGCTCCCTCTGTGACAGCCCTCCACTGCTGTCTTTCTCCTGCCTTCTAATTTTCTTCAGTCAAGACAATCATATTTGGAAATCAACTACTATTATTTTTCAAGTCCAAAAAATTACGTGGCTTGAAATTGATTGTGCTTCCTTCTTTGCCATCTGTCCCTACATTGGTAATTAGTCAATTCTACTTTTCTCATCCAATATTAAGTGGTTTTAGAATCTGTTTTGAAGGATTTGATATTGTCTTCAACTCATTTTGTGGTTTTTATTTGTTTATCCAAACATCAGGAACTATGTTTTGCCCTTATCAGGGATCCTATTAAACTTGAAGCCATCTCTGTTTGATGACAAGAGATATACATGTTGCAGCAGCCAGCAGGGCGCAAAACTTTCTTCTGTATATATACTTCTTCTCTGAAGTTGAGTCTAGGGCATCCAAGCAGCACCTCAGCATCTGGCTTAATGGAGGTTATGTGAATGGATATATGAGTTGGTATATAGCTTATTCATGTTTCTAATACTTTGAGTATGACATAATTGTATCACTATCTTTCAGCTGTTAGAGGACCTAGCTGTCCATCAACAGAGGAGCTGAAAAAAAGGACCCAGTTGTATCATGGATAATTCATGATTATACTCTAAAACTTTCTTTTATCGAGCAGGCCACTATGTAGCACAACCTGCAGAACTATTAATCAATCTCAAAGGTTTTATTTGTAAGTATTCACCCATATTTATGTTGCAACAATCAATGAAATTAGACTGCAAATCTTTATGTTTTCTCATTTCAGCCATATGTGAATTTGATGATATACAAGTTGTAGGTGGGTCATTTGGAAACCTTTGAATATTTTTTTAACATTACTCTGCTAGAATTACTTTTGGACACATTCTGTCTGCAATACCGTACCAGACCAGCTCTACCTCAAAGCCAAACGAGCGCGTGTGTGTGTGACTTCAAATTAGCTAGTTGGTCTGAAAGAGTAGAGGAATGCCATGAACAAAGTCGTTGATTATGGTGTTGAGAGATTGACATTTATGGCCTGTCCCCCCCACCAAAATGCCTCATTAGCAGCATCTCTTCAATGGCCAAGGTGTTGAATTGCTTTGGAAGGTGATTATCAACATATATATAGTAGCTCTAGAAATGAGCTCTCTAGGGATCAATTATGATTTTTATTTTTTGAAAACGAGGTATATAGTTCTGTTTTGTAGGTCAAATGTTATTATGGATTTCGAATGATGAGATTCATGAGAATCCGTGGAGTTTGGACCCCTGTTACTTTGTACACAAAACAATGTACAGCAGGGAAAATGTTCAATCTCCTTGTAAATGTCAGAGAAGGAAAGTGGTGGAAGCCAACTGCAAGTCTGCAAATAAGCGTCCTCAATCGAACTTTCATATGGTACTTGCTGTTCTTGTTCATTTTTTGTTCATAATTTGCATGCTTTTCTTTTCCAGTGATTCCATCTTGATATATGCCACATAATTACGATGTTTCTTCAATCCTTCATATGGATTCATATGTACATAATTAAACTTTTATGCTCCATTATTTTTTGCACTTATCTAATGCTTCCCTACTTAAATCAGAGGTACCTTGGACAATTTAAATTATCACCCAGCATCATTTTTTTTTTTTTCCTTGTATCAGAATGGGATGGTTGCTGTGACCAAGCCAAGAGGGAGGTTCAAATCAGGAGACTTAAGCATCTTCAGGCTTGCATTAGGACTTAATTGGGAGACACACACCCTGTCATTTTGTTTAGTTGCCATTACATAATGGATTGAACATTAAAAAATTGTTGATACTGTTTTGTGTTGTTGAATTAAGAGGCTTGAATGCTGCTGTTGAAAATAAAATCACTATTGATTTGAAGTCATCCGATCCTTTTTACTGCTTCATCGTGCTGGTGAGGACTAACTAACATGCACCAATGCCACGTTACTGAATTTTTGGATGGGCCAGGAAGGGATTGGTTGTCTTAAAGCTGGGACAAGGGAGATATTGTTTGTGCCGTTACTGAATTGATTTATTTCAAGCTTCAATTGCTGAAATTAGTTTTGTTTAAACCGCGGCATTTGTTGCGTTGCCCTTGTGAGTTGCGACTTGTTTTTAGATTCATGATCGTCTGGATTGATTAGGGGCTTTTCTATCATGTGACATAAATATATTTTTTTTAAAAATGATTTAGATATAATTTTTTGTATTATTTTTTAATATAATTTTATATTTTATTTAAATAATTAATTTTTTTATTTATTTGAAACTCGTAGTATTGAGTTAATTTACTCATTTAATAACATAAAAATTATACAAAAAAATTCTAGTGTTCATTTACTCATTTGAAAAAATTATAATCGTTATTTATTCAAATTATAAGATAAGATAAATTACTTAAAAGATGTGTAAATATTAAGATTCAAAAATTCAATTAAAAGTAAAAAAAGATATACATGCATCTCACAATTCTCGATGTGATATGTAGCTGCGTATGTTAAAATTGGGAGTTTTACTTCTACTTTTTTATTTTTTAAGTCTTAATTAAGTAACGTTCAAAAGGTAAAGGATAAAATTATAATTTTTAAAAACATTTGCACTCAATTGAACGAAATAGGAAACAAGCCAAGCCTCCAAAATCACAACAAATTAGAAATTGAGAGATTAATTAAAAAAAAATTAGAAAACATGGAGGATGAATTTCAAATAACTTAAAGTTTTAGAACTAAATTGCTTGATCACAGAAAGTTTTAGGCAAAATTGAAATATGAGGTGAAAACTAGTTGGCTTTCAAATCTTTGACAGTGATTAAACAAGATTAAGAAGATTAAGACTAATTAATAAAAATAATTGATTTAATTGAATGGTTAATTATTAATTCATTAAAATTAATTAAAATAATTAATTACTTTTATTCTAATAAAAGAAAAAATGAAGTCTTGACATTTTGAATATTTAATGTCTATAATTAAAACAGTTTGATTTTTCCTTTTTTATTAGAATAAATAAATGAATTTAATTATCTTAATTAAAACTAATTAATTACAATTAGTTTTAATTAAAATTAATTAATCACCCCTTTAATCAATTATTGAGATTTTATATTACTTTTTTTTTTTTACTTTTTATTGAGCCAATTACTTTTCATTGAGCCGACCCGCAAGACTACTGCAGTCTTAATGGGCTAGGCCCCAATTCCCCTTTTTGGGTTTTTCTTTTATTAAGATATTTAATTTAAAAGGCCCTTCGGGCATGACCCATTTCATATCTTCTTTTTTTTAACCTTTTTTGGTCCATAACACATAAATTTATTAGGTCGGGTCAACGCGACCCACATTCCTAAACGGGTAAAAATAGATCAAAACCTAGATTGAAATTCGGAACTTGGCGTTTATACTGCTCGTCCAAATTTCACCAGAAAAAACCTTAAATAATTTCATCAATCCATTACCAGATCTATGACCTCAACAAAACAGAATGAAAATAAGGCAAGAAAACACGCTCAATTCTCATTGACAATGAGATCAATTCACATAGATCCATCCAAGCAACCCACGAAATACACAGAAAAAGATCAAAATCACAGGCGGAGTTTGAAGAGTAAGATCAGAGTCCGATCTGCGATACCCCACTCACGGGATAGTCCCCAGATCCTTCTCCTCACTACCTGTTAATGATTCCTTTATTCCTCTATTCCTCTATTCCTCACTACATCTCCATGATTCCTCTGCGCTCGAGTAGATCTTACTCGCACGACACGCGCCGGGGAGGCATCCTTTTGGACATCAGATTCGCCATTCATGTCATCATTTTTCAGTGCCTCGGTTCTCAGGGATAAATTTTTGGAGGTTCAGCGCGGCTTTAGGTCAAGAGAAGGTTTTGAGAGCCAACCCATGAGAGTTGCTCGCACACCATTTTCTTGGCCATTCACATAACAATCAAGATTTAGAACTTCGGATGAATAGGTACGTTCAAGGAGTAACAAGATAAAAAATGGTTATCTCTTGTAATGCAACTAAAAAATTAATTAACCAGAAATTAAAAAAAAACTCACAAAGTATTACCCAAGCGGTGCAGAAAAAAAAAAAAATCTAAAGGGCAAACCGTGAAAAAGAACTTAAAAAGTCGTGCACACCAGCGAGGCCCTTACACACAAAACCGGTTAAACCGGTCAACAAGACGCCAAATGCTCCAAGTGATTAGTGCCTAAAAGTCAACACCGCCTTGCTCTTTTCGAAGGACTTTTCAAGAAAAAAATTGTTATGCTATTGGCAATAAAAAAAAATTTTTAATCTTAAAAGTGTTAAAATATTTAATTATAATTATTAAATATATAAGATGTAATATAAAATAAAATTTTATTAAATTTATTATATAATATTATTAAATATTTAATATTTTAAATATTA